CATTAATATACAGTGTAGCACTTTGAATCTATTATATGCATTCTATTTCTTTCCTAAGTTGCTCATTCAAGGATTCCATCATTTTTTTTAATCTCCTCTATTTTTTTCATCAGTATCTTCTTTAGAAATACTTGGTACCACTTTCATTATTGTTATCATTTCCTTTTTTATATTTCAGGGAAGGGTCTACAGGGTGTTCAGGGTCTTACTACTAGATCGGACTCATAGAGATTCCCCTGTTTATAGCCTCTCAAGAGCTGGCATTACAGGTGTATACCACCACACCCACTCTCAATTAGTGTCTCAGCACACCCCTGGATGGGGATGGCATGGTAGGACTGGGGATCAAACCCCCTGCCCCCGTACCTGCTTGCATGCACTTTAATCCACTGAGCTATTTGGCTGGCTTTCATTTCTTTTTTTACTTCAGATATTATTTCTGATCTGATTTCCTCTGTACCCTTCTGTAGTTTCTTTACTTCTGACACTATTATTTATGAGATTTCAGGTGTGTGATTTCTAATTTCTTCTATGCTATTGTTTCTTACATTTGTTCTGCTTCAGCTAGGAGCCTGAAAATGCATTTTGCTCCTGTTTGTTATTTCATACAGCACTGTCTTCTGACCTTTGGTGTAGAGCTTTGGTACAGTTATTACCTTAGCACCAGGTCCATATCTACCAAGTTCAAACACATCCAGGTGGGTGTAGCTTTGATCTGGCTGCTGTACTCCCCCTCTTCTTGCTGCATCCCTTGGAGGTGAACCTTCTGTGCCACTCTGTCAAGATGTTCTGCTCTTGGATCAGCTTGGTGGGTCTTGCTTCTAGCATCTCTGCAGGGAGTTTTGCTGCAGGTTTCCACACGGGGCTTGCCTGATGGATGAAGTTCCTCTCATATGACATCTCTTGGCACTGGCTCAAATAAAGATCTATTGGGCCCAGAATGGTCTCAGTCACACTGGGCCTGGTTCGAATGAGTATCCAGTAACCCCAGGCAGTCCACTCCCACCTTGGTTGTTTTTCATAGATCTTTTCTTACCTTTTCACTAGCTGCAATTATGTCTTCAAGGTCTGAAAGTCTGTTTTCAATTGCATTCAAATGGTTTTACCAGCTTGTGTTTGAGGTTTTAATTTCCTGTATAGCAACTTTGAATCTGCTTCATGCATTCTATTTTTTCCTAAGTTGCTCATTCAAAGATTCCATTATTTTTATATTCTGTGCTATTTTATCAATGCTTTCTTTAGAAGAATTTAATATATCTTTTATTATAGTTGTCATTTCTTTT